CTGTGTGTTGGCCCTGGTCCAGACCGACGAGTCTTAAAGAAGCCTCAATCAGGGTCTGGAGCTGCATGGAGATGCAACGGGTTTTGCAAAAAGCTCCACCAGAGTCCGTTCGGATGAAGCTGCGATTTCATCCCACTTACCCTGGATTTTAGAGCATTTACTTGACTTAATCAATCAAAGCTGTCATTGTAATTAAAGAGCATAAAGGAAGAGGAGGCGGAGGCTTTTCAAAGCACAGAGGATTGGTATCAGAGAAGGAGGGGCCAATTACACCACATTTGTCTCCGTGCAAACACCAGCCCCACTAAGCCTTTAAATAAATAATTACACAGCAATAAAACATGTAAACTGCAGGTAGATGTGCCACCTGAGCCCTCTGTGCAAATAAAATAACTTGCACATAAGTCTGTTGTAGACATATGCTGCTGCATCATAATATCAACACAAAAGTTCATCCTTTTAGTAATGCAATTCAGAAGGTAAAACATATTTCACATGGCATTATACCACATAGAAGCAACATATTTGGAATCATTTTCATTCTCATGGATTACACCTGATAAAATCAAATATTCAGTTTTTCAGACATATAATAATAATAATAATATTATTAAATAAAGATTTAATATATGGAAGTATTATAATAATCACTGGAAAGACAGTTGTTCAGAAAACTGTTGTTTACACCTTTTTCAAGCAAGGTGAGCCACAAATGTATTGTTGGAACATGGATGTTGGGATGTATTATCCAAGCAAACTGTTGGACATTAGTTAATGGTTGAAAAAAGTGTGTTAGTGAGAAAATAGAATAGAAAAGAAACTCCTTTTATTGTCCCACAATGGGGAAATGTAGCTGAGGCAAAGCAATAGGCAATAAAAAAGGGTCACACAGGTGTAGACATTAAAAAGTGTAAATTTAAATTAAAAATACAGAATAAAGTGAAAAAGGGTTCAAAGATAAAAGTAAAAATACTGTACAGTAAGAGCAGAAAGACATTTTGAATGTAAATAAAGTTCAGTTGTTAAAAGAAGAAAAAATAACCAATGAAGTATAGAAAAAGCAGCAACAGTAAAGATGCACACATGACAGCAGCATGTTATTTAAAGTGACTAAGAAAGGAACTGCGCAACATTAATCTGGAATCTAACACCTTTTAAACTTGTAAAGGAGGGATGAGGGTTATTAAGTCTTATAGCTGCTGAGAGGAAGGAATAACTGCAATAACACTCCTTTGTGCATTTAGGGTGCAGCAGTCTGCCACTGAGGGAGCTCTCCAGTTCAGCACCAGCTTCATGCATGGGGTGGGAGACACTATCTAACAGACATTTTTTTTTAAGTTAAAGACCTTTTTTTCCCACCACCTGCAATGAGTTCAGGGGGCGTCCTATCACCCTGGACTCAGTTCACATGCCAGTCCAGGTACATGCCTTGTGAATCTCCCCCAAAAGTTTCAGTAATCTGAGCTGAAAGAATTGGTGGCAGCATCATGCTGTGGGCAGCTAGTTTTCCAGCAGGGACATTGTAGCTGGTCAGAATATAAAGGTATCATGGGTTATTTCAAATATGAGCCACCGGTGGCAGGAGATCTACAGGAGGGTTGAGAGTTAAAATGACTTGAAAATTGGGTGATGGTTCACCTTTAAGCAACACGACTCTTTTTTCAGATTGGTTGCAGCTGTCACTATTGTGTCCGACGAGTCAAGGTCAGACAAAAAAATCAATAAAGTCCTCTGAGATGTAAGGTTGCAATATGACCAAATGCGAAAAAGTTAAGGCCCTGTGTCTAGGTGGTCATACTGCATTTTTTTTTTTTATCAACACCCACTCTCTCTTTGGTTTATAATGCCTTGATAGATTAGAAGAAAAAAAAACAACCCTTGATGTTCCACCTAAAGCACCCCTACATTCACAGGAATGAAAAACAAAACAGTAAGAACACTTTTTTAATTCAAGCTGACAGTGTTAACTACAACCCACAGTGTCTAAGGATTGAATGTCTTCAATGTGTAAAACGAGTGTAGCACCAACTGAGCCTGACCAGCGCGAGAACTAATTAACTGCTGAATGCCTGCTTTGGCTGTCGTTTGTTACATGGGGCAATGAATGGCTTGAGGAGCTGAGAAACTCTGGCCTCCTCCTCCCTCTTTTTAAGTAGGTGGTGCTTTTCACTCTTTTGAGTGGAGAGATTCCAACGGCCCAGTGAGGCACGATTGATTTGGAATGTGCCGCTTAGAAGAAATTGCAATTACTTTTTTTTTCTTTGGTTGAAAACTCTTGAATAACATCAGGTGGTTTAACTGAAGGTCTAGAGGAGCTTGTAGTCTTATGAGAAAACAGAAGAGGGGCTGATGAGTTTATCCACATAAGTCAAGCTGAGCGATTTCCCACTTCTCAGGTCGCTGCAACTTCACGTGAACATCCTCACCCGGCTGTCGGACATTCTACGTAATCACAGATTAATAGAGCAGGCTAATCCCATTCACTGAGAGGTCACTATGAGCAGACAGGCACCCTTCCCCCCAAATTTGCTTTTAAAAAAGAGGGGGGGTGGACTGTCTGACACCCTCCCTCCTCCGCCCACCCTTTGAGTGTATCTATTAAACACATCAGCAGCTCAATTCATTGAATGACACACTGTTGAGTTTTCAATTCCCCTCTAATGAGAAAGGATTACATTCTCAACGTACATTATCTCAACTTCTATAAACCCTTTTACATATGCCTGCTGATGCCATCAATAAGTTGTGGTAATGAGGCCTTAATGAAGTTTTACCCTCTTGCAATAATAGAAAGCAAAAGCTAATTCAGTAAATTATTGGAGGCATTTCATGATTAATCAATTTGTCAAAGCTACAAGCTATTTCAGCTCAGAGCCGACTGTGAACATTGATTTCCACCTAAGCCCTCCCTCCCTTGGATCAATTTTGCAGCATGTTCAGGAGAGGCGTTGAGAGGGTATCAACGGAAATGTAACGGCCATCGACTACACTGTGTCTGAGCCGGGGCGAGTTAGAGCTGGTGAACCAAATCTGATTAACTTATTAGCTCTCTCCTCTGATCTGATGCGTTCCGAGCACAGAAACTGCTGATTTTTCGCTTCCCTTATAAATAAAATGTCATCAAAAACCAAGCAGTCATAAAACAGATGCCTTAAGAGTTTTTCATTGGGTGACCACATGGGGGGCAAAACAAATGCAACGAAAGGAGTTTTACAGTAGGTAGAATATCGGAGAACAATTATATCAACCTTTATATTCATTTACATTTTTATCATGTATATTATTCTGACCTTTAAAGGTAATAAGTTTAATCATCAGCTGCTTCACCTGGCAGCAAATCCTGCCTAAATATTCAGACTAAAATTTAACAAAAGATATAAGCTTGTTTAACAAGAGCTGTAAATTTAAACCAACAAGCATAATGTTAGAACAAGAATAATAGTATTTCATGAACATTTGGTCCCTTAAAGAACAACTCACCCCCAAATCCACTTTTATTGTAAACAAGCTGAATACATATATGTCTTGGAGTGTTGTCTATATGTCCCAGGCATTATATTTGACAAATTAATACAGGTTAGCGAATGCTAAACTAAAATATAAAGCTTTTCTAATTTTAGATTCAGATATGTAATATTTGCATCCTTTCAAAGTTGGATCTAAACACTTATAAATAACCAGTACTTCAACATGTTCCCTAATATGCCTCATTTTTAAATCACTGTTGTTCAATAGAAAAGAAAAGGATGAGAGAGGGACAGCAGAGCTGGTACGAAGTGTCAGACATAAAAGGGTGGCATTCTCTGTATGATAAATCCACCACACTGGTATTTTTATGAATAAATAAATGAAATTGCAACTCTTTAAAGCTTTTTGTTTCACTTCTTAAATTGTTTTTAAAAATTAGCAGTTGCTGCAGCCCGTGCCCTAGCCCTGTAAAGAGATGTTTCAAACTTTTAAAAAATTTATAAGAAAAAAAAAACTTGGGCTTTTTTGAAAAGTTTCTCCCTCTGCAAACACTGACTCATCACATCATACCATCCCCATCATCCTCCGTCTCACAGCAACAGCCCCCGCTGGGCATTAGGAGCAGGTCCTGCCTCCTGGGATATCTGTGGGAGTGTCCTTTAAGAGCCATCTCCTCCAGTTTCTACAGCGAACACTCGCTACATCTTAAAAACATCCCTTCTGTTTGCTTCTTAAGCATATCTGCAGCGCTTTCTTTTTAATCCATCTCCATTCCAAAAAATCAAACATTTACTTGTGCATAACTGTCCATGAAATGCACTTTGGGATGCTGCCCAAACAAGACCATGCTCAGGTTTCCAAATAACTAGGAAGCAGGAAATGATTCAGACATTGGATCAATTGGAAATCTTATCTAAGCCCATAAAATGGGCCCTTAGATTTGATTAAGAATTAGGCAGAATTACAACATTTGGCCATCTTAGTTATTTGCAGACAGACTGTTTCCTAACCCTTAGCTGAAATAACAGCGACATAGTTAGTTAAATAGATAGTTAAATTAGCTAAATAGAGGATCAGCAGTATAGTCAAGCATATGTTTCCAGAAAAAGTGGAAACAAAAAATTATCAGCTGTAAATGATCACAGATTATTTCTTATCCTTTAGCTTCTGACAGTCTATACATCTTTAGTTCCCACCATGTTTCAGCCTGCTTTCCTTCCAGCTTGTAAAGACCTTTAAAATATCTGAATTTTAGGCTTGCTATAATTCATCATAAACATAAAATGCCACCAGTTTTTAGTCTGGTTACTCTTTAAACCATAATTAAAAATGATTTGTTTCCTTCGGTCGTATAAATAAAAATGACAAGATTCAGAGCAAATATGAGCCAAACAAAGTTGGCAATGTTTTTTTTTGTTTTTTGAGGATCAGTACTTTCAGCAGCGTTAATTGGAAAAATACTTGGAATGTGACTTTGAGCCCAAGGCAGGGAAGTGTGACCAGATGGCAAAAGGATAAAACTCTGGTCTTACCTGCTGATTTTGGAGTGAACTTGTCCCTGTTGGCGGCGCACACGGCCAGGAGTCGATAGCCCAGGTCCAAGTCGAAGCCTTGCTGTGCTGCTACGCGGCTGACCACCTGAACACAGTCAAAGCAGACCTTATTGGCAACTTCTAAGATTGGCTACAATAGAAATACAGCTACAGGAATTTTACTTTTATAAATTGATCCCAGTGCCACTGAAGTTTTACTTGCTAATCCACAAAGTCCTTTTTTTTTTTTTTTTGCTAATTAATAGTATAACAGGATATGAGACATATGGGGAATTTCTAAGACAAAAATGGAAAGCATAAAGGACATGCCATTCCAAAAGCCTGTTCACTTGTCTGAACAAAAAAAGCCTAGCTCGAATGCAGCTAGTGCAAAATTTTGCAGCAAGGATCTTGACATGTGCAATCAGAAGAGCCCAAATAAGTCCTATCCTCAAAGCTCCACATTCGCTTTCCATTGAATACAGCATAAACTTTAAAATTCTGGTCCTGACTTTTAGAGCCCTGCAGTCTCACTTTTTTGCTCAACAGAACTTGTTAATGGTCCCACAAACCTATTTTAGGACGAGAGGTGATAGGTCCTTCCAACGCATCGCAACCAGACTGTGGAATGCACTACCGCTTTAACTGCGCATGGTGAACTCCATGGATGATTTTAAAAAAACAACCAAAAACATTATTTTTTAGCCAAGCATATTTAGACTATTTTACCAAGGGGTGCTATGGTTGTATTTATTTTGTCTATATGCATTTTATATGGTGCTGCTTTGTATTCTATGCCTCATATTGTACAGCACTTTGTGACGCCTGTCTGAGAAAGGTGCTGCATAAATAAACCGTACTTACTTACTATTCAAGTAAGTTAGAAAAGCAGTATCTAGAAAAAGACTGCCTACTGGAAAGTTTGTCTTTTCCCAACAAACATCGAGGAGGCTCATTTGGCGAACGTTTTTAGTTTACTATTGTAGCATATTTATCTCTGGGAAATTTAGCCATCACCGTTTTTGACAAATTTTTCTTATGTGTAATGAAATGGGTTGCCTACAAATGTAGAGGCACCTCTGTATGTTGAACAGCCTAAAGAGCTTTAAAAGTGACAAATTAAAAAAACTTTAATATTTGGGCATAAATGATCATATAAATGATCATATAGTAAGAGACTTTTTTCTTTCTGAATAGTCCTGACATTTCATGTGTTCTATTTACTAAAGACTGGTTGGGAAAATCTCTCTATGAGCGTAATAATAGCCAAAAGCAAGTTAAACTCTTCTGGAATGCTGGATTTTGCTTCTTCTTGTGCTCAAGATGGACCTTTTTTGCAACATAAAAGACCCACTTCAGCTTAAATGACGGAAACATCACTTGTTTATAACTTCCATATGGGCGGACTGACAAAAGGAGAAGAAGTAAATGCGGCCTCCAGTGCGGAGATGACCCATCGAGAGGAAACATGAGGAGACGCATCAACATGCCATCCGAGGCGATGTAAATCACCATAATGTCCTGCAAACGGGGCTTTGATTTACCTTCGTCAAATTCAGCTCAAAGAGAGCTTCTCAAATCTTAATGACCTTTCAGGATGTACAGGTCTGTGTGAAACAACTTCAAGATCTTTCTTCCATCCTGCTCCTTCATATCTCCGCCGTCACACTTCAAGATAAGTCCTGAGGTTGCGGACGTGAACTTTGCTGCTTGCACCATGTCATTACCTTCAGTAAATATGGTCCTGACTTAACACCAGCTCGGAGTATGTACATCTGGGCTTTATTTAAAGGAATGTCCCACTCAGCAGAAGAAATATGAGCACAGTCAGCCTAATTAGAATCTGAACTACAGAGGGATGTTTTGCTAAATGGTAATTTCAGCGTAAAAAAGGGATTCTTATTCCAGGTCTTTAATTGTACCCAGTCAGTGCAGCTGAGGTGGGTTTGTCCGCCATAAAGCCAACATGTGCTTCACATCTTCTATGTTAAACCCACCATCAGAGTGTGCCTTAAACCGCTTTATATCTAAGGAGTCAATTATGACAGAAGAGTGCATTTTTGTCCCCTTTATATAGATGAACATAAAGTCCATAAACATCTGGCTATATTTTTTTTCAAACAGTGAAATCAAATTTTTTCGAGTCTTTGGAAAACTGAAAAAATAAAGCTGTGTTCTTTTGAAAAATGGAACGATTTGATACCCTTAGTCTAAAGTAGTGGATAACTGTGAAGCAGAAAGGAAAGTCTAGTTATAGTATTTCTTAACCTCTTACACCCTAAAGGGGTATAAATACATTTCTGCCTGACAAAAACACACAAAAGTAAATAACTTATAGTCTCAAAG